AATAAAATAATTAATGTATTGTCCAAAAATTAATTTTTGCTATTTTAAGATATAATAATAAAAATGATAAAATAAATAAGAGCATAATACTGTTACAACATATAGGTGCAACAATAGCTTCTGGTGCAAGTGGTATATGGACAACTGGTAGATCAATACAGAATTTAATAGATAGAAGCTCTCATGAACAAAGTATAGGACTAACAAATAGGGATTCCTTTTGTTCATGGTTAGGTATAGTTGGCAGTGCAGTTGGTTTAATAAGCAATAGTGGAAATGTTATTCTTACTAAACTTATAAAAAATGGTAGTGATATAAGCAATGCAGCTAAAGTTGCATACAATGCNATTAGTTTTAAGTAATTTAGGTATTAATGGTTTTGGTGTAGGATATCAGGCATATTGTATGTATCAAAAATATCAAGAAGAAGGTCAAATTCATATATTAGATGTGGTATCTCTGTCAACTCATTTATTATTCTTTGGTAATTCAGTTATAAATTTACAATTTGCAGAAAATCTCATTAAATCTACTCAAGGTAAAATTTTAGATGATTATAGATCTACATTGCGTTCTAAACATCTTCGTAAACAATTTAATCGTACAAAACGTAATGCTGCTGCAAACAATACAGATATAATATCCGAAAATGCTGAAGTAATACGTTATATCAATAGAAAGATAGATTTACAATTAAAAAATAATTTGAGTAATATTCCCATTCAAAAAAGCACTATATGTTTTGAAGATGGGAAATTGATAATTTGCGGCATTCGTTTCTTAGATCCAATGAGATTTGTAGAAATAATTAAGGATGATCAATTTTCAAGTGAGAAGAAGTTTTCATTTAATAAAGAAAATAATAATAGCAAAGATATGTTCTTAATATTAAAAGATTTGCTTTTAACTTTATTAAAAAATGTGTTTTTAGATGATAATAATAGAGAAGATTATGAATCTGAATTTAATGATACTTTAAATGATATAAAATATATGGATAATGCTCCAAATATTTTTATTCTAATATTTCAAATATCTTTTACTTTAATAACAAAATCTCAATTTTGTTCAAAATATTTATCAGATGCAGTTCATTTTATATGGTGTTATATAAAAGAAAATTTGATACAATTTAGTTCAGAACTTCTTAGTAATAACGAACAAACGCAAAAAAAAATATGTGAAATATTAACAGTTTTATTTGAACATATGGAAAAGACAATAAAATTATCATCTGCTTTCAAAAAATATATTGAAGAATATGTGAGGAATAAAAAATAATAAAAATAATAAAAAAATGTTCAAATTTTTAATATTATTATTTAAAAATATATTTTTCTAATAAAAATGGNATTAGTTTTAAGTAATTTAGGTATTAATGGTTTTGGTGTAGGATATCAGGCATATTGTATGTACCAAAGATATCAAAAAGAAGGTCAAATTCATATATTAGATATGGTATCTCTGTCAGCTCATTTATTATTCTTTGGTAATTCAGTTATAAATTTACAGTTTGCAGAAGATCTCATTAAATCTACTCAAGGTAAAATTTTAGATGAATATAGATCTACATTGCGTTCTAAACAACTTCGTAGACAATTTAATCGTACAAAACATATTGCTGCTACAAACAATACAGATAAAATATCCGAAAATGCTGAAGTAATACGTTATATCAATAAAAAGGTAGACTTACAATTAAAAAATAATTTGAATAGTATTTCCACACAAAAAACTATTATATTCTTTGAAAATGGAAAATTGATAATTTGTGGCGTTCATTTGTTAAATCCAATGAAATTTGTAGAAATATTAATTAAGAATGATCAATTTTCAAGTGAAAAGAAATTTTTATTTAATAATGAAAATAGTGATAGTAAAAATATGTTCTTCATATTAAAAAATTTGCTTTTGAATTTATTAAAAAATGTATTTTTAAATGATAATAGTAAAGAAGATTATGAATCTGAATTTGATAATATTTTAAATGATATGAAATATATGGATAATGCTCCAAATATTTTTATTCTAATATTTGAAATATCTCTTACTTTAATAACACAATGTCAATTTTGTTCAGAATATTTATCAAATGCAGTTCATTTTGTATGGTGTTATATAAAAGAAAGTTTGATACAAAGTTTTTGTGCAAAACTTTTTTCTGATGAACAAATGCAAAATAAAGTCTCTGAAATTATAACAATTTTATTTGAACATATGCAAGAAGCAATAAAAGAATTATCACCTGCTTTCAAAAAATATATTGTAGAATATGTGAGGAATATAAAGAAAAACTTATGAACAATATATGTAAATTTAAATCTTCATAATGATTCTTCAATTAGAAAACCTAAAAATTGCTGTATAATCACAATATTCTTTTTTCCATTTTGAATATGTGATACATGTAATCTAATAATTAATCTATAGTATTATTTTTTTATTAAAAAACTTAAAGACTGCCATCAATCAAATATCTCTATTAATCTAACAATTGTTTTTTACTATGATAAATTATTATGTAATTTATGTTATTGTTACTAATTAATAACAACTAATAAATTGTAGTCAGAAAGCTATAATTTAAGATAATTTTTGAATTAAGAGTTCTTATAATAATTTAATCAATAATTACATAATAGTTGTTTATTAATAATATATATTTAAAGATTTGTAGATGTATTAAAAATAACAATAATATCAGAAATTGAATTATGTACTAATTAATTAAAAGTAAAGTAATTAATAAGTAAAGATTGTAAGAAAAAGATATGTAGCAAAAATGTCAATAAAGATAATTTTTGAAGTTTTATATGACTTAAGTTTAATAGAAAAAATAAACATGTAATTTTAAAAAAAAAATGAAAGCAAATTCAATTAACGTACCGATCACGCGCCAAGATCAAGCTTATATAAAGAGAGCAATTAGTGGGAAGAAGACAAAAATAGGTTAAAAATTATAGAATCATCGCCATCTTTGATACCGCAGATGACATGTATAAAGAAAGAAAGGAAATGGTAGAAAAAGGACAGAGATAGATTAAAAATTGTGATATTAGCGCCATCTTCAGAGTGCCGCAAATGAAACACATAAACAAGGAGAGCAAATAATAGGAAAAGGATAGAAATAGGAAGAATTGACAACCAGCGCCATCTCTCGAATATTAATGGCACTTTTTTAAGAATAGTTTCTGGGAATAATAAAGAGATGGCGCTACTTCTCAATTCCCATTCTGCTTTATCCTATTTTAGTATTCGAGAGATGGCACTAGTTGTTAGTTCCTAATCTACTTTATCCTATCTTTAATATTTAAGAGATGGCATTAGCAGTCAATTCTTGTCCTTCCATATCTACTACTACTTTTTCAAAGAAGTGTTGCTGATATATAAGAGATGGCTCTGATAGTTGATTCCTACTTTATCTCTGTCCTACTCTTATTATTTGCTCTCTTTATTTATGTATGTTTCATTTGCGGCACTCTGAAGATGGCGCTGATTCCCTAATTTTTATTCTATCTCCATCCTTCTTTATTCGTTGCTCTCCTTTTCTATATTTCCTATGAAAAATTAATGCATAGAAGAGAGATGCACGTTTTTAATATCTGATGAAATATTTTTTTCTTTTTTGATTATTAATTAAAAATTGTAATGTTAAATTTTAATTATTATTTAATAATATAACATATTTTATTTAATTTATTATTATTTAATAATTATTATTATTTAATAATATAACAACTTTATTCACATTAATAGAATCATATTTTTTTTTATATTTTAAAAATATTTTACCATATACAATTTTAAAAAATATAACGTACATATAAAAATATAAATAATAATAAAATATAAAAATATATTAATCGATAAATAAATATTCTTATTAATTAATATTTAAAATATATTATTAAAAAATCTTTATATCTATTGAATTTATTTATTAATTTAAATACACAGAAGAAAAAGGAATGTGATTATGAAATTTTATATCTAAATAATATTTATTTTATGCATATTATATATTTTTGCATAAAGTTTTTTTTTATTATATGAAATTAATTTTAATGTAATTGAATATCTATTTTATCAATTTAAAATACTTAAATTTTTAACGAAAGAAATATTTATATTATATTTTATAATAATAGTAAATAATTTTATATGATCTTTATCAAAATTGTAATAGTATTACATCTTATCGATTGATTTTAATTTAGTTTCCAAGACAACGATTGCGCTGTTTAAAGTTATCTGCAATATCAGTAACGAAAGAAACCGTATCTTGTCACTTATAATAATTACTTTAATTTTACAATTTATATAAAATTACATTAATTTTATCAATTTATTATTTTTCATTGTAGTATTATATAAACAATAATATTAAAGAAATTATAATTATGGTACAAAATCAAATAATTAAAACTGTGAAACCTACCACTTGCCTATATCGCCAAAATGTAAAACCCATGAAAAGTGTTAAAGTAAGTTATTTCCTTGTTTATCCTGATTTTTTATTTTTTAGTTCAAGTAAATAATAGAATAAATTCTTTGATTAAATCGAAAATAATTTATTAATTTTAGCGATTTTTATATAAAATTATATAAACAATTTTTATAATACAAATCTCTTTATTAGATATCAAAAAGTGGTATAGAAGAAATAAATCCAAAATACTTGCAACGTTCAATTCGTGCAAATCCATCAAACAAGAAAAAGGATAATATAAAATTAAATGTTGTAAAAGAAAAAAATAAGGAAGAGAATGAGGAGAAAAAAATATCAAATCCTGAAAAAGAATTGAAAAAGGAAGAGAATAATGAGGAAGAAAAAAAATTAGATGTTAAAGAACAATTGGAAAAGGAAGAGGATAAGGAAGAAAAAAAATTAGATGTCAAAGAAGAATTGGAAAAGGAAGAGAATAAGAAAGAAAAAAAATTAACTATTAAAGAAGAAGTAGAAAAGGACGAACAGAAATTAGATATTGAAGAAGAATTGAAAAAAAAAGAAAGTGCTATAACATCTACCAAAGAAGTATGTTTCGAATTTCTTAACTTTTATTCTAAGCTATATTTTTTTAATTTTTCTTTCGTAATTCAATTTTCATATTATTCCTATAAAATATATTACTTTTTGAAAACATATTACTATTATTAGTTTTTAATATCCATTGAGAATCAAATTATTCGAAAAAATGTTTTTTTTAATTTGGATTGTGATCTTTAAAAACGTTTTAAAATAATTTTAAAAAGAGACACTTTTTATTTATTTTTATTTGAAATTGTTTATACTACAAATTTTCAATACTTATTTATTTTAGTATAGTTACTAGAATTTTACATAAAAATAGAAGAAAAATAGAAGTATTTATCGGGATAAATTGAACAAATATTAAAGAATCTATTCCGATTATTTAGAATTATATATATACAATATATATTAAATATTTTTTTTTCTTTGCCATAATATGTCATATAATAGTAATATTAAAAATTATTAGAACTCTTTTGAACAATATTTTAAATAATTTAATCGTAAATATAATAATAAAATAAAATTATTATTTCGCAATAGATTTTTAAAAGAAGAAGAATAGAGGAACGATTGGCAAGAGAACGAAAAGAGAAAGAAGAAAGAGAAAGATTCGTAAAGGAAGCTGCTGAGAAAAAAGCAGCGGAAAGGGAAGAAATAATAAAACAAGCAAAAAGATTCATTTTTTACAAAAAACCGATGTGCAAACAAATTAATCAAGGTCTTCTGGTTTCTGAGGTATTTACTATTATTAGAAATATCATAATGTAATATGATATAAAAATAATTAATATATGTGAATATTAAATAAAGAAATATAGAGATCGTGATTTTGAATAAATAATAAATTTAAATAAAAAATATTTCAATTTCCATTTAGTTCCTTTTTTTATAATTTCTCTTTTTGAAATTAATATATAATAAATTAGATTTGGGATTGTGTTTATTATAATTTCAATAGTGCTTTAGAGAATTGGATGCTCAAATAAAATTTCGAGAAACTCTTAAAAAAATAGATAAAGATGAGGAAGATGCCTATGTGAATAAATTGAAAGAAGATGTAGCAAAGTACGAAGAAGAAACGAAAGAAAAGATGGAAAAGCAGAGGGAGGAAAAAAGAAATTATGCTACCGAATTAAAGAAACAGTAAATTTTCACACACATCCATTTATTATATATGCGTATATATTCACTTCAATAGAATAATTGTTTGTTAATTTTTAGAATAGAAGAAATTAAAAATATCGAGGAAATAAAGAAAAAAAAAAGATTCGAACTTGAGAAACAAGATCAAATAAATATGAACAAATTTTTGCAAGATATAAAGGAATACGAAGCACAACAAGTTAGAAGAGAAAAATTTAATATTTACATGTATTATTTTTTTTTGTATTATTATTATTTCTTATAGATTAATAATTTGTAGTTGCAAAACAAAAAAGAGAAATTAAAACAATTTTTCAAAGAAGCTATAGAGGACAAGAAACAATTTGATCTCGAGCTTGAACACGAAGACAAATTTGAGGATCGAGCAATTGAGATTTATCGAAATGCTCAATTGCGAATTCAAAAGCTTCATAAATCACTAAAATTAAAAGAGAAAGAAGAGAAAGAGCAGCACGCCCAACAGATATGTAATTGACTTTTATTAAAATCCACATTTTTCTAAATTTTTTTCTTTAATAAATAAATAAATGAAACAAAAATTTTAATTATATATTATTTTTAAACAGACGATCAGTTCGATAAATATCGTATTATTTTGAATGAAAAATTAGCTAATGAGGAACGACTTTTAAAAAAAGCTCAAGAAGAGCAAGAGGAAAATTATCAGAAGAATCAAAAGATACGAAAAGAAAATCATGAAAAAGTGTTAAAGGAGATAAAAGATTTTCGGACGGAACGTATAAATACAAAGTTGAAACAACTTCAAGAAGATGAAGATATGAAGATGTGGGAAATGATGCAAAGGTATAAAACTAATGAATACGATAGGGAAGTGGAAATCGAGGAGCAAAAGAAAAATTGGAATAAAAAAGTAGAATATGGAGAAGAGATAAAAAAATATATTGTAAGTATCCGTACAAGAAAAGGAGTTAAAATTATTTTATTAACGTAATAATCAAAATTTAGAAACAATTTTCGTTTTCTCTATCAGAGCGAGAAAGAAGAAGAAAGAAGACAAGCGAAACTTGACGAAGATGAAACTCCAATTGTGAAAAAGATTATCGATATAGAGAATAAAAAGATTCTTGATTATGCGGAAGAAGTTGTAAACGAATCTAAAGGAGTGAGACCGCTTTATCCAATTCTTAAGGCAGTAAAGGTATATAAAATATTGTACTAATTTATTATTCTATTGTATAATAATTATATAATAAAAAAGTTTAATCTTGAATTATATTGAAATTTAAATTTCAAATTATAGAAATGCAAAGAACAAATGGGCTTATTATCACCGAAGAAAAAAGAAGAAACAATCGTTACAAAATCTAAAAGGAAACGGAAAACTCATAGATGTGCAAAATTTGTTCCCGAGGAAAAAATCTGTTATGTGTAACAGAAGAATTCTAATGTTTAATTTTAATCCTATTAATTGAAAATCTAGTAAAATAATATTTACTTCGTATGTGTGAAAAAACGAAATGTAGAAGCATATATTTTTTTGAAAGCATTATATATATATAGATTTATAGAAGTAAAAATTTTAAGAAATTTAAGTCGTGATAAATTATTTTAATTATATTCATTTGAGTAATAAATTTTATTTCAATTTGACGTATAATCAATAATAAACTATTTTTAAAATATTTTTAAAATATGTATAATTTTAAGCATTTTTTAAATATTTAAAAATTATATAGAGATTAAGAAAAATCTTAACTTATATCTTAACTTTAACAGATTTTCAAAGATGAAATTAAATTCAAAAATATTGTTACAATGAGTATTTCTATGGATAGAAAATAAAATATTATTTAAAATAAAAAAATATCAAAAATTTAATTATTTTTCATGCATTTTATTTAAATTTTATTTTATTAAAATCTTTAAATATCGCACAAAAAAACTCGCACAATTTACTGAGTCTGAATAAAATAAAATTATATTATTACCAACTTTTGAATTAAAAATAAATGACATATAAAAATTAGTGATTTTAAAATCGAAGATGATGAAAATAAATTATCTTCTTCGATTCATAAAAAAAAAATTTATATTTTATGAAATATTTTTATATTCAAAAATTTTATAAAAATATCCTTATTACTTTTTTTACTCAATTTTTTATTTATTTAAAAAATTGATTCTATTAATCAAGATAGAAAATCTATCAATATATAGAGAAATTTTATAAACGATATATATATATATGTTCAATCTTTTAATTTTTAAGATTAATATTCTATTATATAAATATATACAAGTGGTTATGAACCACATTTATAATATTTTATCATATATGTCATTTTATTGTTAGGTTAATATGCAATACTGTTGTGTACTGTTTGTGTTCATATGTGTTTTTAATTATTATGATTTATATTTTTGCAACTTTTACATGACAATTTTATAGATATTATTACAAGGAATATTAACAATATATTTTTTATCGAAGAATTATTACTTATATTATTTATATACATTTATTCAAGAATTTGAAAAATATTGAAAATGTCAGAAAAGAAGAAAGAGCGACTACCTCCAGTATTTACTTTTATAAATGCTGGTCTTTCGGGGTAAATTATCATAATTTTAAATATTTTATTATTTTTTAATGTCTTCTAAATTAAGTATTATTATAAATAAAAAAAATAAACATATATCTAAGTATGTGTAAATATAAGGTATGTATAAGTGTAAATTTAATTATTTAATTATTTACATTTTAAGAGATTTTATCATTTGTTTAATTTTAATATAAATCATATAATACATACATGAAAAATTATAGTATGGCAGCAACCTGTGTAGTTCATCCCATGGATGTAATAAAAACCCGGATCCAAGTACAAAAGGAAAAGACTTCGCTCTTTAATGTAATTGCTTCCATATACAGAGAAGAGTCAATTTTGAAGTTTTATTCAGGCCTTAGCGCTGGTCTCTTACGACAGGCAACGTACACCACTGTAAGACTTGGTATTTATAATCAACTACAAGAATATTGGAAGTGAGTAAATATTTAAAAGAGAAAATATTTATTTTAAAATTAAATCATTTATGAATATATCGAGTAATTTTTTTATCGAGCTATTTTATATTATTTAAAAATTTACATACTATTTTAAAAATTCATTGATTTAAATTAAAAATACCTTTAATAGGTCGAAGTATGCAACGAAACCCAATTTTGGTACATTAGCTCTAATGGCAGCTACGGCTGGAGCTTCGGGAGCCTTTATTGGTACACCAGCAGAAGTTGTTCTCGTAAGAATGACTTCCGATGGTAGACTGCCAAAAGGTTATTTAAATTATTTAATTATACATCATTTTTATTACATATTGGAATTATTTCATATAATTAAATATCTATATTTTTTTCCTAAAAATTTTTTTTCTATCTTCAATATTTTCTTAATCATCATTAAATCTTTTTAATGCTAAATAATTTTGAGAAAAAGATAAATCATATATCTAATAATTAAATTCCTTAATAATTAGCACTTTCAATGATAAATACTTTTAAAAGATTGAAATAAGTAATATATTCATTCAATAAATTATTCATATTTTTTTGGTACGTAACAAAAAAAACATACAAACTTAATTAATTTTATTCAATTCAGTAAATTGTTTAATTTGTTAAATTGTATATATTTTGTTTTTATAGAACAAAGAAGAAATTACAAAAATGTATTTAACGCATTCGCGAGAATAGCTAAGGAAGAAGGAATTACCACTCTTTGGAGAGGAAGCGTAGCAACAATGGGTCGAGCAGTGATTGTTAATATCTCTCAGCTTGCAACATACAGTCAAGCAAAATTTTTAATAGCGACAAAAAGTTATTATGAATTTTTTAATTTTCTCACTTATTATTTCTTTTTTCTAAAAGAAAATATATCAAATATATTATATATAAATGAATTAATATAAATAGAAATAGTATATACATTTTTTATACAGTGGATATACCAGAAAGTGTTGAATTACATTTTTTTGCATCAATGTTGTCTGGATTCCTTACTACCTTCAATTCTATGCCATTTGATATAGCTAAAACAAGGTAAAATGATATTGATTTTCATATTTATGAATTATGTTAATAATTCTTTATAATATGACTTAAAACTTATGAATATTTATATTTTTCAAATATTACTTTTTCATTATATTCATATTTCATATTCATATTTATAATTAATAGATATAAAAGAATAAAATTTTTCTATATAATTTTAATTCGATAGCCAAAAATTTCTTTATATAAAATTTATTTATCATAACTGATGATTTTCATCTCTTATTATTTTTTTGATTATGAAATATTATAATTAAATCTTTAATTTAAAATTAATTAAAGAAATTTAGCATCGTTACGTTAATACACATCGTTTATGTCATATTTTCAGAATACAAACCTTAAAAGGTGTAGCAAAACCACCTGGTTTGATAACAATGTTGATAACGATAACGAAGACTGAAGGTTTTTTTGCACTTTGGAAAGGTTTCTGGCCTACCTATTGCAAAATAGGTCCACATACTGTTTTAACATTTATAATTAATGAACAAATAGCAAATTTATATAGATGGTATTTTATGTAGATAAATATTAATATTTGTGTACGTATATATATGTATGTTAATTTTTTGATAAAAAAAATTTAATTGAATTAAATATTTGTGTTCTTATTTATACTCACATAAAAAAGAAAAACTTTTAAATTGAAAAGTAATTTTAATTTATTAATTTACATACTTATTTATTATTAATTTATCACTTTATATTATAATAAAATATTATCTAATATTTTACTATTATTATCATTATCATATTTTTTATATCATATAATTATATAAACTATTAAAGATATAGTTAATGTTTCAACTTAAGATTATAGTTTATTTGCAAATCATATTGTAATATTATATTTTGTATTATAAACAAAATTATAATATTAATATATTTCTACAAAATTACAAAATCAAAGAATCCTATATTCATTATTACATTAAATTATTCTATTAATTATTGTCAAAATATTATTCTATTTAGATTGTAAACAACGGAACATATAATTAAAGGGGAAAATAATAGAATAAAATCTTTTTTTTAGCACGCGTTATTCATAATCTTTTTTGCGATATTATTTATCAAAATAAAATTCGAAATCTAATCTCTTACAAAGAACATATTATATGCGTATTTAAACTGTTCAAGGCATATCATAGTAATCACAGCATAAGGAGCTGATCTAATATAATATGGAAACCATCCACGGTACAGTGCAAATATTCCTTCCTCTTTCATTGTTATGACTAACATCCGAGGTAAGCTTGGTGGTTTTGTAGGTAAAGCCCAATTTTGTACTCTGTAACGAATAAAAAACAAGAATATTTTTTATCAATAAATAAATATAATAATTATTAAAATATAATAATAAAATTCTAAGAATTACTTAGTTTTAACTACATCCACAGGAAGTGATGCTAAACACATCACTGTTCCAGAGATCATTGATGCGACAAATGACAACCATAAACCTTCTTCAAAGAGACCTATAGTTATTAATATTACACGTAATTATATATATATATAATTAATTTTGTTTTTTTATAATTGAATTATACGAATTATGAAAATTAATTCTAATAATTTAAACTTTTTGTAATCATTCATTAAAAATTAATAAATCATTTTTTATAAATAAAAGAAATAAAAATAATAATACAATTACAAATTACAATACAATTACAATTAATAATTTATTTAATATTTATATTTAATTTTCAACCTTTAAAATTTTTTTAAACTTTAAGTTAAAACTTAAAAAAATTAATTTTCAAAAATTAATTAGATAAGTAATAAATTAATTATTTTGCAAATCTATTCGATTGATACGATATTTTTCTAAAATTGATAAGCTATTATAATTCATATACCAGTATCTAGTAATGATACTTTCGCTCTACTGTAGGTGCCCAATTGAGTTCCATTCACAAGTGCCCCTCTAGTCATCGTTGGTACAGCTCCTCTCCATAATCTACCAATACCCTCCGTTTTATAAATAGTAATTAATCCGGCGAAAGCATTTCTGTAATTCCGTCGTTTCTCTAAAAATTCATTCTTTAATTTATGTTTTTTCAATATTTTTTAATCAAAAAAAAAAAAAGAAGATCAAACTTCGTCAAAAAATATTTATTTATTTGTATTATTTTAATATCTTATTCTTTTTTCATTATTATATTAATTAATTCAATAAAATATCATAAAAAACAAGTATTTTCTATAGCAATATATGATTGAAAATTCTTTTTTTTTTTTCTTCTTTTTTCCTAATTAATAGAATTTACATAATCTATATACATAATCTATATACATAATCTATATATCTATTCATGAAAAAAATATTAATGTAGATTTGAAAATTCTATAAATTATTTATCTTATAATATTAAATTGAATATGAATTATTTCATATAACATTTAAAAGATTCTATTTAATTTTTTTCTCAACTCTCTTTAATTGAAATTTTATTTATGTTACTTATAATAATTATTATTATAGTTTATTTACACAGATAATTTGCATAAATAAAATTTTCATATATTCTTTAGAAAACAAGGATGAAACTTATTACTTAATTTAAGAAAAATACTCACCAGGAGGTAATTGTAGGTCACCTACCATACGAACTAAAATCAAATCGGACGGTGTTCCAACAAATGCACCAACAGTACCAGATATCATTCCAATACCGAGCATTGTAGCATAATTTAAACGACCAAAATAACTCCTAAATTTTAAATTTTATTTTTCTTTAATTAATTCGTAATTTTATAATATTTACAATTACAATGAATTATTATATATGATGAATTATTATATATGATAAATGATTTATATAAATATATATAATTAATATATAAAAAAATATGAAAAAAAATACTTTCTAAAAAATCAAATTATTTTATTAAGGATTAATATAGAATTAATTAATTAAATTAGACATAATATATTTACTGGGCTAAATCATATAATGTAGTATAGCAGCCAAGCCTTGCAGTGCTATATGTTAATTGTCGAAGCATAGCTGCAGTCCAACCAACATAAAATCCCCGAATTCCAACTTCCTTTAAAGTCTGTTTTATTGTCTCTTGCAAAGATGTACGTGTAATTTGCATACGTAACTTGGCTAAATCCATAGGATACACTGAAGATTGTGATATGATACTGCATGACATATGAAAATAAAAGATCAGGATTAAGAATTAAAATATTAAAGATAGATAGAATTAAAGAAATTAAAGATAGAAAACTTTTCATATTTAAAATTTTTTAAAAATTTTAAATTAATTTTAAATGAAAAGAATTTTTATATTTGTTATATTTTTATATCTTATATTTATACTAAATATAAATTAGAAAATGAATTGTTCTAATATATTTTATTAATTATAAATATAATATAATATAAATATAAAAATTCTTATTAAAATTTTAAAATAAAAAATTAAATTTAAATCTTCAAATATCAATAAAAAAATATAAAATATAAAAAATATTGAACATTTTACCCTGATAGTCCACCAATAATGAAGTTAACATAAATAGGCAATTTTTGATCCTTATGAACCAATAATAATACTGAATCATCATTTATCATTAAATTATGAGAATTTACTGATAACAAATGCATAATCTTTGTTAAAATTTGATGAAATATATTATTTCAAACTAATTTATTGTTTCACGATTCATATGTGAGAATTTAGCAACATTTAATGATTCATAAATCTATAGTCTGTCTATTTATATATGTAAATGTTAAATATGAAGTAATGAGTACTTTTAATTATTATAATAAGATGAATAATCATATCATTAATCATTATATGAATAAATTATTATGTGTGATATAAATAATAAAGAAACAAAAATTAATGAATTGAATGAATTACAAAATAAATATTCAAAGCCAAAAATCTATTATATTCTATATTATCAATAAAAAGTAATAATATATATATTGATGGATAATTCATGATAATTTACGACAAATTTAGACATTTGTCGGTAATATAATCACTATAGCTAAGTGAAAGTTTCAAAAAATAGTCACTAAGAATTGGTAAATTTGTTTCTGGCTTGTGCTTCGTTTTCATTAACAAAGTTATATGCAATTTTTCCAAACATTTATGTATCATTTTCAATGTATTGCTCATAGCAGGACTAACAGCGACCATCTGAGCAAGACTTCGAATTTCTCCATCGTGTAGAAGTATGTTACATCCTTGTTTTTTTACTCTATCATAAAAAATCTGTAACTCGAAAATGAATTTTTTAAATTAAAAAAAAATATATTATGATGGATAAAAAAAAGTGAAATATTATGATGGAAAGAAAAGAGTGAAATGCATTTGCATAAAAAAAAAAAAAATAGTAAATAAACGTACATCACATGATTCGAATAAACTTTTGAGATTATGCCATTTATAACTGGAAAATCTACTATGATGTAGTTGAGTAATTGCAACCGCAAATCTTTCTACAGTTTCATTCCATTCCACTGTTTTATTTGTTAATAAAAGAGATGATTTTCTTTTTTCCACTTGCGAAGCTATTGCAACATCACTGATAAAATTATCTTTGTCAACACTATTAAAATATAAAATGGAATTTAAAAAATTCTTTCAAAAGAATACTTTAAATAAGATAGTATTAAAAATTGCACAATAAAATTTATTTTATTGAATATAATGAAATTATTAAATAAATAAATTTTAACAAATTCTTTCAAAAAAATTATTGATTAAAAATTACAGATATAAATATTTTTTAATTTAAAAAAAGATTTTTTAAATCGATTTATTTTACTTACTTATACCATCCATTAATTGCAAATTTCATCCACTCGATATAACTTTGCAAAGAGGTATAATAAGGAAATACGTTTAATATTAATATGATTAATCTTTCCTCTTGCTTATGCATATAGCAATAACAATCGACACTTAAATAACCAAAGTATCCTCTATTTTGTATATCTTTAGCGAATTTGTTCACTATTGGTTGTAAATTTGAAATGTCCACAGAAGTTTGAGGTAACATATAAATAGTAGTACCATATATCGATTCTGTTAATAAAATAAGACATTTATAAATCACAAAAGAATATCATATTATTTTATTCATTAATTCATGAATTAAATTTTTGAAATCTATTTTCGTTAATATTATGTTTTTTTAATGAAACTTGATTTTCATATACTGACTATTTTTATATCATAATAAAAAATTTATTTTATTTTCATTTGTAAACTCATAATTATGTTAAAAAAATAGAAAATATTTCATATTTGATAAATGTATAATTATATAAAATGATACCTAAGTTTATTCTATTGGCGCTACCCAACCATTTAGGTCCCTTTTTGGTCACTTTCGCTGGGATAAACAAAGAAAGTTGAATCGATTCGGAATCAGGCGGAATTGCTTGGATTATGCATCCAAATTTTTGTATATGTTCATAAAACTTATCCCAATTAGCATATACCCTCGACAATCGTGTCACGCTCCGTATAACTAACGGTATATGGTTCTTCATTTTCTTAAGATACTCATCTCGCACACTCGCTTGAATTTCCCAAATATCCTCAAACTTTTCTCGTTCCCGCCTTAACTGCGGCATGAACGGAACGCTGATGTGATTGATCAGAAAATATCCGCAATGCTTGCCCGTTATACCGTAATTCAACTTGAACAACCACGTGCTAATTTCGGTATGAAGGACCATTAACTCGGATAAAGAGGAGCAAAGATTTTCAAAGTCTGTTATATGCCTTCTGTGTGGTGGTTGAGAGAGGCCAAGATTCTCGATTATCTCACACATATTGGAGGCGTTTAGAAGTATTCTTTGCGCCTCCATGTCGGGGCTCAATAAAGGAAGGTTCAGAGTACCGGCCAATCTCATGTCACATTCGTCGACAATGTAAGGCAAGAAATAAGCCAATTTTCCCTCGATCTTGTTCTTGATCTCGTTAATTGATTCTTGGGAACAATGAAGGATCCTGGATACATTTAAAGTAAGTTTTTTAAATGTATCCATTTGCGAAAGAGCGATGAATGTGATTCGTTTTGCGATTTCTTCGGAAGGTGATATGGACTCTATGAAATCGTTGTACATTATTAATATGTCTTTGATAGGCTTCACGGGTAGGATGTAGATCACCTCGGTGTTTAGATTGCGAACGAAACAGATTCGCAATAACATAATATTTTGATAAATGGGTAACAATTTTGGATTGAGTATTTGGCGTAATTCTAAAGGATAACCCATGGACGGTAGATGTACAACTATGTGCGGTTGTAGTATCATCGAATCGAATTCTATACTAAGCTTTTGAGTAAGATCCCGAGTTTCTTGCAAAAAACCCAACATTTTTTTTAGATAACGTCGATGCATTTCCCTCCTTGTTTTTAACGAAATCCAGAAAAACCATATGAGACTGGCGGCTATGTAAAGATGTGCCGATTCTATATTCTTTTTTCGTAACTAAAAATAGAATTGATTAGATATATTTAATTTTTTTATTTTTATCTCCTATTTCTATTTTATTTTCCTTAGTGCTTAACTTTATTTCAATAGAATCTAAAAATAAGTGAAAATGGATTAAACTTGTTCAACAAAAATAATATTTACCCAATATCCACGCCAGTGAGCTTGTATTAGTGTCGCAGCTGCAGATTTCTGTTCGATTTTTTGAAATTGTAACTTCAGACTTTTTAACCAAATAGCATCGTGTTTGTTTGTCAAAAGAGGAATTAAATCTGTTTTCGATAATATAAAATTTATCATCGTAACGTTCGAGATAAAGTCAAAAGTTGCGCGTGCATTCAATTGTAACAAAGGTATCGAACGTTTCTTTGCAATTTTTTCGATTTGTGGGCGAAGAACTAAATGCCACTTTGAGCTATATTGACGTCCATAAAGATCTAAAACTTTTGTCCAAACATCATTAATTTTAAATTCTCCATCAACAAATTTTAAATTGTTCAATTTTGAGAATTCATCTTTCAAAGAGGAAACAGTGTAAACTTCCTTGTGCTTAAGAAGCTGAAGGAACTCTACGATTGATGACGGTTGAATATCATTGATATCAGTTATATCAGTAACAAGTTTGAAAACAGGATCATTCCTTTTAAAAAAAATTATTATTATTAATAATATTAATAATAAATTAATAAATAAAAAAGTAAATTAATAAATAAAATATATATGTATATATTTATATGTATTCTTATCCGAAAAATCTCCAAGTATTAATTTTAAATACAATATTTATTAAAATTATTTTCAAATTAAATATTAATTTTTTTAATAATGCAAATAATTAATATTTATCAATTTTATTTTGTAATTACATTTATTTATATTATTATTTCTCTATATATATATTCATAGGACATTTTTGAAGAGTCCGATTAATTTTAGAGGCCAAAATATAAAAGTTGATATATGTTGGTGAAAGTTTATTTATATAGTTTTAAGCAATTTAAATTTGGATTAGATTAGAAAGAACATTGAAATAGAAATGAAATAACTTAAAGAAATAATAGATTAAAGAAGTTACCTACAAATCAGTTCGTTTTTTTGGCAAGGAGAACATACTTGTTCTTAACCAAATAATATCTTGCATAAACTTCAAATCATGCTCATCGAATTCCGTTCGTTCTTCTTTTTTTGGTTGTTTCAAGATATTTTGGGTATCATCAAGATTCCATATAGTTTTATTCTTCCAAGTACAATGACACAATTCATCATCCTCTGGTTCTTCAAATATATCATGATATATTTGACAAGATTTTCTCATCTCTTCCGGAGATATATAAGATGGTGGTTGCATGCGACCTTTTATTGATGTTATTAAGTCAATGTTCAAACGTATGAAAGTCTCTTCGCATAGTTGTTCCATATTTATGAGCTCTTCTAAAATATACTTGTGGAACATGTGAATGTAATTTACAGCGGCGTCACTGATTTTCTTATTCTCCGGACTATTAAAAAGTAAGACAAATCTGATATAATTATTATTTTCAAACTTATAAATAATTATTTGTTAATAATATTATAATTCTAATTTCAAAAGATTTCTTTTTTATTATTAATTATTTAAAATTATTTAGAAAGAAATTAAAATTTAAAAAAAATTTGCTTTTAATACGATTATTAAACATTATTTCTGAATTAAATTTAAATTTAAATTTTTATGTTATTTAAAACACTTTTTATTATAAATATTATAAACTAACCTGTTTTCTTGAATTAATTCTTTTTTACGTGTATTAAGAAATTGCTTAATAAGATTAATCTGTTCTCGTATTCCCTTGATACAAGATTTTAGCATATCTAGAAATTGAAAATTTAATTCTTCGGTTCGTAAATTTTTATGATAACGATTCATTTTAGTAATTTTATTATAATAATGAAGATTTTTAATGTAGATAAAACTTCATAAATTTCTTTTAAATATTTATTTTAAAAAAATTTATTTATATACATAATATATAATAATATTGTTATTAAAATTATGTTAATTATAACTTTTTAATTCAATTGAATATGTTGCAATTAAATATATCTATTTTTTATTGAGGGTGTCATTATTTTATATTGATTTCATTTATTATAACTATAAATCATGATCTAAATAGTAATAAATATTTTATTTATTACTATAGATATTAAGTACATGTATTCAAAATATAAATTGATGTAATTGTATCGTAATTGTAATATAATCGAAAATATATATGTATAAATTTGAATAAAAAATAGATTCAAATAATCGATTATCAGCACAACCTTACTATGACGTATTAATACGTCATTTTAATGATGTGGAATCAGTTTCCATGTGTTATATTCAATATATATTTTAGTTTTTATTTTTTGATAATACTTTTATAATAGAATTAAATGCAATTACAAATTATTATTAACTAATTGAATATGTATATTGAATGAATAACAAAGATGGCGCTCATTTTGATTTATCTATATATTTGTAAAGTGCTCATTTGACATGTGAAGAGGTTATATTCCTTCCTGTTTCTCATTATATTGATATTGCCTACAACGTGTTGTACGAAAAGTTTAATGATAATTTTGACACGAAAAATACGTAGGAGCATAAAAAAGATTGTGTATGAAAGGAAATTGCATAATATATATATATATTTAGAAAGTATTATTGAATTATTAAATTTCTATGACACTGGATTGTCAAAGTATGTTATATGATGTTTTCATGTGATTGAAATGTTTTTTATTTGTTTTCTCTTATGAATGTGATATGGTGCAATCTATAAATTATATTTTTATTACAATTATGTACAATTTATTAAAAAATATAATAGATTTAATCTATAATATGAAATTATCAAAAATAAATAGGCATTGTTTTTCATATAAAATAAAAATAAAAAAAATGTTTTACAAATAAATTTTTCGTTAAAATTTTTAATTATGAAAAAAATGCAATATATGTTTTACTTTTAGAAGTTTAAAACAAGGCAATGGGTACAACACCAAGTCGATATGATGATCTATCTAAAAATATTTATTTAGAGAAATTTTGTGGGAAAAAAAGTATTCTTCCAAATGATCCATTTTGGAACACATTTTTATCCTACAACATGAGACCACCTGTTACAAGAAATGATCAAATAGAATTGGATTCTAGATTGGATTCTTCATGTCAACAATTACTTGCAAATAATATAAGTACTGGTAATTTTGGTAGTTTGATACAAGTTGCTCTTATGCGTGCTAGCAATTTACTTGCACCAATGCAAAATCAAAAGTATGATATTTTTAATATTATATTTTAAAACTGGGATATATATTATATAATTTATATTATTAATTAATTATAATTTATAGAATCATATCAGCATGGCAAACATATAATGCATTGTTTGCGGTCAGATGTATATTAAAATATTTGATTGAAACAGTTGGTGAAGAAGAAATGATAAAGCATATAGAAGCACCACAACTACCAGTACCAACACAGTCAAATGCATCTTATAGATTAAAAGATCTTTTTGAAGCATTAGTTGATATTATAACAGATGTACCACTATGGTAAGTAAATTACAATAGCTTTATTATGTATATATACTACATATTATATATATATTAAAATTATATATTAAATAAAATCATATTTTATATAAAAAAAATTTATTTTGACAGTGAATTCACATATGTTGTACATCTAGAAGCTATAAATTGTTTATTAGTACTACTTTCTGTACAACTATTTTCTCAAACTGCAGCTGAATATAGCTGTATATACAGAATAGCAATGCATTCACATTCTAGTGAACATGCTCCAGCAATGGTGTGTACATTATTACACAATTTTGTGCAGCAAGAACATGCTCCTCCTGGTTTACTTACACAGCAACCAGGAGGGAGTATTGTTTTTAGTATAGCTGGTATGTTTAATAATAATATATATTATATATTATTGTATTATATTTTTTTAAAATAATATATTATTAAGTAATGTATATTGTTAAATAATTATTAAATTTAATTATATTTTATATTAAGTATTATTTTCTTTAAAGAAAAAATAATTTATTATTGAAACATTTTAGCTGGATTATGGAATGTAATTACAATGGGTATGGGTAGTAGTTTAAAAAATGTACAAGTTACAAGTAATGGTACTTCTGAAGAGGAAGAACGAAAACGCGATACAGAAACACCTCTTGCTAGTCAATCATTATTACTTTTATTGGTATTAACAAATCATTGTACTGCAACCCAAAATCCTTATAGGAATGCACTTTTTACATTTGTAGATATGCAAGGCTAGTATTAATTTCTCTCAATTATTATTTAAATATTAATTATTTAAAATATTTATTTTACTTATTTTAAAATATTTAATTAAATAAATTAATTTTAAAATAATATAAAAAATAAAATATGAATAAATTAATACATATATATATATGTATATATGATTTTAGAAGATTATTCCACAATGCAAGGAAAAAGCGCATTTAGATTTAATATAAATAAATTATATAATACTATATGTAAAATACCAAACACGGATGAGGTTACATTATTATTATACATGTTGCTACATAGGAATTCAAGTGTAAAACAAGATATCATGAGAAGACCAGATATACAACTATTAGTATGTATAAATTTAAACAAATTTAAAATATTGATTTATTAATTATTAATTATTTAAAAATATTATATTATAAATTTAAACATATCATAAAATTTATAATTGATGTTTTTACATACAGGTAACGCCAATACTTCAAATATTATATCATGCTCCAAATAATACATCCCATCATATTTATATGTCTCTTATTATTCTCTTAATTTTAAGTGAAGATGAAACATTTAATAAAAGAATACATGAAATAGTAAGTATCATTTTAAAATAATTTTAATTTTTTTTCAATTTTTTTCAATTTTAATTTTATTTAAAAAATTATACAAAATATATAAAATATATATAATATATTTTATATATATAAAATATATATAAAATTTTGAATTAATTAATACTAATTATTTATTTTCAGATGCTTAAAGGTGTAAATTGGTATACAGAAAGATCAATAAGTGAAATATCATTAGGAGGTCTATTAATACTTGTTGTCATAAGAACCATACAATATAATATGTTTAAAATGAGGGTAAACATGTATAAAAACAAATATAAATGTGATAGAAAATTAATATATAATTATATAACAAAATATTTTTTTAATTTTTCAGGATAAATATCTTCATACAAATTGTTTAGCAGCTTTAGCAAATATGTCAGCACAATTTACATCTTTACATCCTTATGTTAGTCAAAGATTACTAAGTTTATTTGAAACTCTTGCAAAGAAACATGCTAGATTGGAAACAAAAATACGTACGCAGCCTTCTGTTTCTTCCGATAATACTACTATTACAATTAATGGAACAACAGCAAACACAGACTTGGTAATCTTCTACAATAATTTATATTTTATTACAAATAATTAATAAATAATCTATATGTTAAACATGGATTTCAGATTCAAGATTTAACAATACTTGAAGAAGTTCTACGAATGGTATTAGAGATTATAAATAGTTGTTTAACTCATAGACTTGCACATAATCCAAATTTAATATATACTCTTTTGTACAAAAAAGATATTTTTCAACCATTTAGAATGCATTCAGCATTTCAAGATATTGTGCAAAACATAGATTCTGTGAGTTTTAATATAGAATATTTTATATTTCTTGCTTCTGAGTTATACATACATTTCTAAATCATTATTTTATATTATATCATTATTTTACGAAAAAAATTAAATGAATATATTATATTAATCAGGTTATAAATTTCTTTTCTTATAAATTGGAGCAAAAAGATCAATCACAACTTGGTGTAAGTCAAGTTTTAACTACAATTCAGCAAGGTACTAGTGAATGGCCACGTGACCGTTTAAGGGTATGTTTAATCTCTCATTATATAATTTTAGTTAATTGAATTATATTTTTTAACACATTCCATGCAAAGTTAAAATAACTATCACAAAAGTTTTGATCTTAACATGTTAAAATATTGAGCAGTGATAGTTTGATACTATTTTAATCAATGTATTCACGAATATTTGAAATATATATTAAATGATGGATTAAAAAAATCCATAAATGGATTAAATTAAATTTTTTTTATAGCATTATTGAAATTTTATTCGATTGATAGATTTCGCATGGAACATGTTAATATATGCATATTATAATAGATATTTAATTATCTAAAATACATGCATAAATATGTATATATATTTTATAAAATTTGGAAAAGCTATAAAATAAGTATATTAATCATATAAAAAGATCAATGAAATTTTTAATTTAAATATATTTTATTCATAAAATAAATTATAATTAATTAATCATGATTTATTAATTTTATTTAATTATATTTATTTTATTTATATATTTTACAGAAATTTCCAGAACTAAAATTTAAATATGTAGAAGAGGAACAACCAGAAGAATTTTTTATTCCTTATGTATGGAGTGTTGTATGTCAAAGTGCATTGTTACATTGGAATGCAGAAAATATAAAATTATTTTCACCTCATAGTGGTGAACAAACAACAATTATTGTTTGCTGATACTGAGATAAAAGCTGCTGCTTGCAGTAGGTATATAATATAGCATATATAAAAAATATTGGAAACTTCTTCATAAATCAGAAAAACATTTGATTATTTGATACAAAAATAATACATTATTTATTGCAAAATTAAAATCAAAACATGAAAATAGAGATTAGCCTAAAACAATACAATCATTTTATATTTGAAATGTTATAGTATATATCTCTTTTCTTTACTATTTTATTTAATTGTATTAATATTTTCCAAATAATTCATTGTTCAAAATGAATATTAGTTAAATTTAATGAAATTTAATTAAAATAATTTTGAAATATTTTAAAATCTTTTGAACATGCACATGCATAAGCCTAATAAGATTATTTTTTGTATAAATCATAAATAATAAGCAGTTAATCCTTTCATTGTACAGTAAAATTGGCTTTAATCTCGTAAAAATATGCATTATTAAGACTGGTGTTGCAACTTATTATTTTATAATAACTATATTATTATTTAAGTATTTAAATAGTATTGAATAAAAATGTCTAAATATTCAACTGGAGCATCATCATTCACACTATAAATAAGAATGAAACTTAAGTATAAATATTTTATACTATTCACAAAATATATAAATAAATATTATTTGTTATAGTTTCCAGTTGAATATTCACGCTAAAAAAATATTT